CTGGAAAGTTCAAATGTCGGATGGTCTTAATAAATTTGATTTAAAAAGGAAAGGAAAATCTCGTTTAGAAAGTTCTCGTTTCTGCGGTTTCTGCGGTTTCCGCGGAAATTAAATTTTCGTATTAAACGTTTCTCCGCTTTGGACATCTTTGGATATCGAAGTCGTTCAAAGAAAAAGGAAATTATAGAAAGAAGTTTCCATATTCGTGAAATACGGGACGATAATTACTTTCCTCGAATAATCTTCAATAACTTCAATATCACGCAACATTCTCTCAATTTGAACCTGATGCATCAATCAATCTTCCATTCATCGTCACGCTCTTTCCAGAAATATTCATACCTATGATTACCCGTGACTCGAGATGAATCTCCATCTCGAGTCATCCAACCATACGAAAATTATCACTGAGTATATATATATATATATATATATATATATACTACGCGTGATTGCATCAATATCTTTCTAGATAATAAATAATAAAATTTTATTATCAAACCGAAAAAAAGCCGAAAAAAAAAATTTTAATCTAAATTTATCGTAATTGTGTTTCGGATCGATTTTCGAGAAAAAAGTTTATCGAAAATTCTTTCCTTCTAACGACGATCCAATCCGATCGGTGTTCGTTGAATCAATCCCCTCGTGTCTTCCGTGGAACGTTCGATTAGCCTCGTGCTCGAATCACACGCCAATCCGTATACACGTTGTATACCGTCTCCATTCCTCGCGCGTGTTAACACGCGACGCTGTCCAATCCTTGCAAGGAGCAGATCCTCGATCGAGTTTGCCACAGAGCTTTCGAGAGCTCCAGCGCCGCGTCACGCGCAATTAATTTCACGCGAGATCCTCGGATCGGCGCATTTGCATGTCCGATTGGCCCCAACGTTGAATTAGAAGATCCTATCTGGGACCGAGTCCGACCGGGATCCCATCGCAACGCGAGACGCTTGAACCGAAGACCGGAACTTCGTAAAGAGAAGAGAAAAGAGAAGAACGAAAAATATTATCGCGAATCTTCGCTCGTGGGATATTTGTTATTATAATTTGAATCGGCGAATGTAAATATAAGATGGATTTTTAAGGAAGTTCACTGTGGAAAAGATTTTTGACAAGATCGAAAAATATCACGGGTATGGAATATCCGTAGATGATAATTGTTATTTCATTTAAATTGGCGAATATAAATATACGATTTTCGATGGGGACACAGTGTGGGAAAGATTCGAGAAAATATCATAGATATTTGTTTATTCAGAATATGTGTAACTATATCTAAATGTTTTGTTATTTCAATTAAATTGGTGAATATAAATATAAAAATGATTTTTAATGAAGTTTATTTTGGAAAAGATTCGAGAAGTTCGAAAAATATCACGGATCACTGTCCATAGAATATCTATAACTATAACTGTGAAAATAAGTTTGAATTGACGAATATAAATATAAGAATGTCGATGGAGTTCAGTTTGGAAAATATTCGAGAAGATTCGCTGAAGATATGTTGCGAACTTTTCAAAAATGGAAAAAATATCTTTCGCGATATAACGGCTCCTCTGCTGATATACGTTTGCGTATATCTGACATTTATTCCAAGATTTTTCTTCACCAGGAATGTTCTTGCATATGCGAGCTAGAACATTCGGTATATTTCTTCGTTTCTCGGTTTTAATGGTCGTGTTTTTTTTCCCTTGCGTGCCTGTGGAACCGCCCAACGTCGCGATTCGTAAGGTGAAAGCAATGGGAACGAAAGACGGAGAATATTATTTGTAATTGGTGACCATTTATTGGCGGAAATTGAACTATACGAGAATTTTACTTTCTCCGGAGAGAATCTCTGTGGTTTCGTTGGAATGTTGGAAAAATAATCAATTTGCTGTTAATCGAAGGATTTGGAAGAGAATGAAAAAGAGATTATAAAAATTTTTATTATTATATTATAGTTGAGCAAGTTAAGTAATTGCACGATAATAATTCTTTCGAAGAAAGTAGATATAAGATCTTAAAATTAATCTTGAAAAACTTTTTTTTTTATAAAGTAAATTTTATATTTTGTAAAATATCGGATGGGATTGGGTTTCGACGTTGTTAATTTTATTTGGTGATCGTTGAATTATGCGCAGGAGCGGAATGCAAATGAAAATGATTTATTATGTTCGTAACAAATGAACGTGCGCCATTTCATAGGAAAATCATCGCGTTTCACTGTCGTCACATGGTGTAGAATATTAACCAAGCCGATGAATAATCATATAGTCGATGTATACACACGTACGCATGCTTTTGCTCGGAGTTGGTAATTACCAACTGTCACGCTACACCTGTTGGCAGTGATTATTATTTCAACGACAAACTGAAATGGGGAATTCGAAGGAATTTATGCGTTCACCTGATCCATTCGTAAAGCATTCATTTGATCCGAAAAAGAAATGGTATGATTTAAAAAAATAAATTTTGCAATATTATTGAATCTTTAAAAAGTTTAATTTACTTAAAGATTATTAAGTAATAACGAGTAACGGCGAGTGACCTCAAAAAGATATCAAAATTCCAAGTACACAGCAGTTTTTGATAACCGAGCAATTTTCAACAAGCAGTTTTCAATCCAGTTAAGGTTTCGTAAAGTCAACTATATTTTTTTTTTTCGTAAGTCAGCGATAAATAATATTCGAATGTTTGACAAATCAAAGGAAACTTTGTCTGATTATGATGAAAAATTAGAATTTCATGTATCTATGCGATTATTGTTATAAATTAAAAAGAATCTGAAACTAAATTACTTCTTATCTTTAAAAAATAAATAAAATGAATATTTTCTTTGCACAATTTAACTATGATATATTTGGAATGAGGAAGGAATACCTTCGAGAAACCACTCTACAAACTCTCAAGAGTCAGAAATTTAAATTTAAACCCATTGGTTATCGAGAATACCGACGCATGCTTGTAATTTAACGAATTATCTCTCGAACCACCTGTACCTAATTCTGTTCTCACAACGTTGCCAGACAACGTTGCACTCTGCAAAATGTGCGGATAAAGCGGATGTAATCGTGCTAAAAGCGTACGCAGCTAAATTTCAGTCACTCGATGCGACAACAATACACGTAACTAGTCGAGTGTTGGTCCATCCAACTCCAAGAAAGTAAATTGACAAAATTTTTTGAATACGATTATTTTAATCTTTTTTAGCGTTTTGCTTCATTTTTATATTTATAAATTATTACACAATAGAATATAGAAGAAAGAAATGTAATGATGTATAAAAATGAGAAAATAAATGTAAGCATGTATCTATTGTTTACTGGTGAAAAGAAGTCTCGCAGAACGGCAACAGAGGCAAGAGAAGTCATTCGCTATGACCTATCCCCACTTTAGACGCTTTGTTGACAATCCTGACCACACTCTACAGAGATCATCTAAGATTAGAAACTAAAATATTTTCGAAACTATCTATAATATGTCTAGCTTATTCGTATACGTACAATTATTATCTTAATTATTTGAATATAAAATTATATTTATAAATTAAACTATCGTTACAAATCATAATTAGCTTACGTATATTATGAGAAATAAAAAAATTTTTATATTATATCGGTACGTTAGAATTCTCTGGATTCTATGTCTAATTAAAATTAAATATAGATCATTGTTTTGGATTCGTATATGTGACAAATATCATGGTAAAGACAAAAATAATCGTTTCCTTCCAAATTAA